ACTTCCTGGGTCTCAGTTTCCCTATCTGCCTGCTCTAGACATACTCAGCTAGACTGAGAAACAAAGAGCAGGGAGGTGAGTAAACCCCAGCCTGGCACCATGGCTAGCAACCCAGCCCTGTGGCTCAGGGGAAGCCCCACTCCCTGCAGGCCTGTGTTCCTGGCGGGGTCCCTGTGCTCATCATTCCTTCTGGGCTTGTGTTAGTGAGCGGTTGCCATGGATACTGGTCTCAGCTTCTTTGGCAGAAAAGGACGCCCCCAGGGTAAGGCTCTGCCTCTCCTCACCAGTCCCCACACTGCTCAACTCCAGGTGCCCAGAGTACCTCAAGCTAGTTCAAACGGACAGAAAATAGGTCTCAGGAAGGGCACAGGTGCTCCAGAGAAGTTGGGAAAGGATGATAGTTGTCAAATAGTCATTCATCAACCATAATTAAAGCCTGGACCAGCTCCTTCTGGCTGGGCCTGCTTCCAGGAGCCAAGTATGGTCACCCTCCGAAGAATGGGAGTTCAGGAACAGAGGCAGTTCTACCCCCAGGAAGCAGAGCTGAAGGGAACCACAGGGGTTTCCTCCTCCTCCGGGGCTAGCAGCCACAGGGGGGCTCAGAACACAGAGTGGGTGGCTGCCCTACCTGTAGGGGCTAAGAAACCATGTAGGGGAGCTTAAACTGCCTGAGCTAAATGGAAACACAATTCATCTACCCAAGAGAGCTCTTCCCCTGGCCCATAGACTCCCTGAGCTTCTAGGCTGGAAGCAGGGACAGGCCCTCCCACTCCACCAGAGGATCCTGGGGTTGGGGAGCATGCTGCACTGGGGTGTGCCATGGGACCTTAGGTAAGTGCCTTTGTTCTCCTTGTCCCCATCTGTACAAAGAGGTAAAGGGAAGGATTTAGACAAGGTTGCTAGGCTTCCTCAACATTATCCAAGTGAACCAACGCCAGTGGGGGCCTGGCCCTCCTTGCCAGGTCTGAGGCCTGCTGCCCTCAGGGGGTTCTCATGGGGAGGAGAGCCCATAATTACTGGATCACAGGGTGGCACTAACACAGGCAGAAGCCACTGGAGTTCACAGGATGGAGACCAACCCTGGTGCAGAAGGGAGGGGCTCACAAGGCACCCTAAAAGACAGTCTGAATGAGAGTGTCATACACAGAGAATAAGGAAGGACATGCTGGTCAGGCACACGGCTTGGACCTCTGCAAGAAAAAGTAGACAGCTGACATTTATGGAGCTCTCCTAGATACCTGGTCTCCACCCAGGTGCTGTGGGTAAGTTCTCATTCATTCCACACCACTGGAGGTGGAAGGAGGACTGGACCCACAGAAGGCCCAGATGCTGGCCGCAAGGTCCCACAGCTGGCAAGGCTGGAAAACTAAAGCACCTGCATCTGAACTCCATTGGCAAAGACACTAGACAGTCATTGTACCCACCAGTGACCCTAGCTACTATGAGTATGACCTGTACTGTGATGCTAAATCATGCACTGGATTTGGAAGACAGTATGAATAGAAATGCAAAATATCCCTGAGTAACACAACATAACATGTTAGACATATAAAGTTAAATAAATAAAATATATCAGGGGCTAGAGAGATGGCTCAGTGATTAAGAACACTGGTTGTTCTTGCAGAAGACCCAGGTTTGAATCCCAGCACCCACATGGCAGTTAACAACTGTCTGTAACTCCAGTCCCAGGGGATCTGACTGCCTCTTCTGACTTCCTTGGGCATTGTACAACACGGGTGTACTTACCTATATGCAAGCAATACACGCATACACATAAAATAAAAATAATAAATAAAATTAAAAATAAATAAATAAAAATAAAATATATCAGAGCTAGAGAGATAACTTGGTCCAATGAAGTGATTGATGTACAAGCAAGAGGACCTGAGTCCCATATTTAGAACCCCTGTTAAAAAGGGGTGGGGGTGTGATTGTGAGGCAGCTCCACAAATAAGGGCTTTTGCCACCAAGCCTGAAGACCTGAGTTCAAGCCCAATTCCTGCAAGCTGTCCTTTGACCTCCACACCCATACCCACACAAAATAAATAGATGTTTAAAAATAAAAGCCAGAAAAAAAAAGACAAATAAAAATAAAAACCAGGCATAGCATCATGCAATTGTGGTATCATGTGCTTTTAATCCCAGCATTGGGGAGGAAGAGACAGGTATCTCCCTGGAATTCACTGGCCAGGAAGTCTAACCTAATTGGCAAGCCCCAGCCCAATGAGAGACCATCTCAAAAAAAGCTAGACAGCTCTGAGGAAGGACACCAGAGGCTGACCCCTGGCTTCTACACACACCTGCACACATATACACACCCACAGAAACATGGACCCACATATGTACACACATATAAAATACAATATATTAATTGCACTTGTTTTTCTTTTTTTATTTTTTGCAGATCAACCACAAATTTTGATGCTTATATGTGGTTTCATTGTACTCCTTTTGGACAGAGCTGGCCCATGCTGTGAGAAAAGAGAACGATACCAAAGGGTTATAAGGAGAGCAGGGACTCCTCATGCTTTGATGAGGTTGCTTTGGCCTGCCTGTGAGGTTCTCAGGGGTCAAGTAGACACAAACATCCTAAGGGCAAGCCAGGCATGGTGGTGGCACACACCTTTAATCCCAGCACTCTGGGAGGCAGAGGCAGAAGGATCTCTGTGAGATCTAGGCCAGTGGTCTACATAGCAAGTTCCAGGTCAGCTGAGGTTACAGGGACACCCGGTCTCAACCCCCCCCCCAAAAAAAAGAATCCTAAGGGCTCAGCAGAGTGTCTATATCCCTGACTCTGTCACAGCAGGGCCAGCAGGCAACAGGTGGACTCAGGTGCTAGCACAAGGCCCAAAAGCTATGGTAGTTACCATAGAGATTGTAAATATTCCTAAAAACTGAACTTAGGGGCAGGGAGAGGGAAGGCAATCATAAAGAGAGGGAGGCAGGCTTATCCGGAGAGGAAATAGTATGAGCTGTGTTGGAGATGGGATAGGATGGGATGGGAGTGCTAAACCAGCTCCTACCCTGGGCAGGACAAGGGGGACGTCACACAGCTTAGGCGGGTATGTGTCTAGAGCTTTCTGAGCCTTCCTCCCTACTCCCCCTCCCCCTAATTCACCAGAAATTTGCTATCTTGTTCTCCCATTCTGACAGTCTGACCCAAGTATTGGTGAAGGTAGATAAGCCCCCTGCCTCCAATTCCACCTCCCCCTCTTTGTCCCTGGCAGTGAGTTTCCCTAAGAAACTCAGAGGTAGTGATCTAGAGCCAGAAGAAATTTAAAAAAACAAGTTGGAAAATGTCACAGCACCAGAAGCTGCACTGATCACTCCCCAGCTAAGAGAAGGCCAAAGCTGAAAGCAGGTCCAACGTCTGCTTTGCTGTCTTACCTTCTGGGCCATCTTGGACAGGGCTGTCCATGGACCTTGGTTCCCCAAGCTGTGCAGAGCTTCTTCTGCAGACTGAAGATCCCCCTGTTCTCTGACTTATCCTCACAGGGTGGCACCTAAGCTCTAAAGTGTCAGGCAGTGCAGCACATGCATGATGGATTGGTGCACTCATGGGGGTTATGCCATGCCGCTACTTGCCAGACCAACAGGGAAGCCTCTGATGGGGGAAGGGGCCTGCAGGAGTGGGGGAGGGGGTAGTCTCTGTTCTCCCATTAGAGTTCTTCCCTTCCACTTGACACAAAACTCCATTTAACATAGGGGAAGACTGAGGCCCAGAGAAGAGCATTCAGATACCCAGGTGGTTTGTGGTTTATGCCAGGGTTCTCTTTTCCCATCACCCCAAGTTTTCTTTAGGATCTATGCAAAATTCCCATTCTCTCTCTCTCTCTCTCTCTCTCTCTCTCTCTCTCTCTCTGTCGCTCTTGCTCTCATTCTCTCCTCTCTATCTCTCCCATCAGGCTCTGGCCCACATGCCTGATCCCCAGAACTGCACTCCTCCACAGGGAGCCCCCAAGTCCAGTCTGGCCAGATTCCTTTCCTCTTGAAGTTGCATTACTCTAAGCAGGGCCAGCTCCATCTAGGACAAGCCCCTACCTTTTGACCCCTAAAAAGACAAGGAGAAAAACAGCAGAATGGAATTGCAGAACCACATCCAGCCCAAGAGATCCAGGGATCAATCAACTCACAAGCGGGGAAACAGTCCTAAACACAAGCTGAGACTGGCCCAAGGTCACACACTAAGCACACCCAGTGCAAATCTGAGAGTAGAACTCAGCTGTATCCATCTCAATCCAAAACCTAGAGCTGATTCTCAGAGATGCCCGGGAGGATGAGGCCACCGCACTTTAGCCCCAGAGGCCTATGTCTTGCCCCAGGCCCCAAGCACCATAGAGCAGGGGGAGGCGTCTCCAGGCCTCTAGCCAGGGCCAGCTGCAAACCGCATCCCGGGTCCCCAGGCGACGCGGACCCGCCCCTCCCCTCCCTCGGCTCCCCGCAGGCCCGAGCCTTTGTCAGCCACGCGCTTACAAGCTCACACACACATCCGCGCCACCACGCGCGCACACAGTCGGGCTCCCTGGCGCACACCCGCAAGGGGCGCACACACTCGCCGCACCATGCCGGGGGGTGGCGGCGGCCGAGGAAGGAAGGAACTGACGGACCATGGACGCACAGACGGCCTGGGCTGGGGGAAGAGGAGAGGCCCCGGTACCTGCGGCTGCGGCGGGAGGGGGCGCACACGCAAGAAGGCAGGGGGACGCAAAGGAGACTCAGAGGAGAGGACAACGGATGGGTCGTTGAGGGCTGGCGAGGAAGCACTGGCTGCTCCAGGAGTGGGGACTCCTCCAACCCCTGACCCGGGGAAGGCGGGGGATGGGGGGCTCTGGGTTGGGCCCGAGGAACACAAGAGCATCGTTGCCCAGTTATGTCTAACTAGCCGGTCCTTAAGGACTCCTCAGGGGGCTTGGATCTAAGGGGACTGGAACGCAAAAGCTCCCTAGGGTATCTGAGGTGGAGGGGCTCTGGTCCCCGGGCTGGGTGGGGCACTTGCTCACCTGCCACGGTGTACCTGTCCAGATAGTTGAGCACGTTGCCCAAGCTCAGGATGGCAGCGGCTGCCCCCCGCCCTCGACCCAAGCTGGCAGGTTTGGGCTGCGGTGCTCCGGGGCCTTTGGCAGCCGCTGCGCAGCCCGGGGTGCTGGGGATGCTGGAGGGTCCGGACGGAACCCGCCTCACGCTGCCGGACAACGTCTGCACCTCATCGTCTGCGGACACGACTCCAGCGCCCCCGGCGCCCCGCGTCCCGCAGCAAGCGCCACCACCAGCCCCTGGCTGCGTCCCTCGGCGCCGGCGCCGCCGCTCCGCGTCCGCCTCCTCCTCCTCCGCGCCGCCCGCCGCCGAGGCGCATTCCAGGCACATCATGCCGGCCCGGGCCAGGGGGCGGCGGGGGGCGCGGGGGGCTCGGGGCCCAGGACGGGCCCGCTCAGTGCGTGCGTGCGCCACTAAGCCGCCGCTGCACCATCCCGGCCGGGCCCCGTCGGCTTCTGCGCTCCGGCTCCGGCCCCGGCTGCTGCGCTGCTACTGTTCAGCCAGACGCGCCGCCGTCGCCGCGGCGGCTCTGACAGCTGCGGCCCGGCCCCGCCCACCAGACTCGCGCCCAATCACCTCCCGGCCCCGGCCACAACCCCGCCCCGCACGTGCTGACCCGGGGGGTAGGGGGGAACAGCCCAACTGCACAGTCCCATCGGTCTGACGGGGGCGCAGTCACGCCTGCGCCCTGTGGCCGCGGAACCCACCCGGACCAGAGGGAATTTGCGGGGACCTAGGAACTGAGGGTAGGGTGCGGGAAGTAGGATGCCCCATGCCCTACCCAACGCCCTCCACCCAGTTCCTACCATGAGAGGGGACCCCAGGCAGAGAAAGGAGAGGTCCACAGCTTGAGCTACGCATTTGGGCAACCTGGAGAGAAAGATCTCAAATGTTCAAAACACAGGCACCTGTTGGAAGCTGGTGACTCCAACAGCTACTCACAGGCCTTGATCATCTCGGGGAGCGCCTAAAAAGAATGATTGGTAGGCCCAGACTTCTCCCAGACTTGGAAAACTGCGTAGCCCGCCTCTCCAGGGAAACAGCTCCAGGCCACCACCTAACCTGGGCCCACGCTTGGGTGCATCCATACTCTATCCCTGCCTCACAGAGTGAAGCTCCTGAGAGCCAGGGCTCCAATTAAGGGCCCAAGAAAATCAGGAGGATCTTCTCAAAGCCAGGGATGGCATTGCACACCTGTAATCCGAGCACTTGAGAGGCTGAAGCAGGAGAGAAACTGTCTCAAACACAGCCAAGAACGGGATGGTGGTGAGGAGAAACATCCTATCTAAGGGTACCACCTCCTCAAAGCCCTTGGTGGAAGTCAGGAAGCTGGTACTAGTCCAGCTCTGCTCTGGGGTGTGGCATGACTGTACAAGACTCCTCTTATCTTTCTGGATCTCCCCTTCTATCTGGGGGTAGATAGGAAGATGGGATTCTGGAGACTATGGGTTGCAGGGAGGATTCTGTCACTTCTGGAGAATGGCTGGTGGTTTCTGTATTCAGAACTGCCTTCACCACTCTGACCCAGAGGTTCTGTGGTTCTGTGAAACTCCCCTGAAACTCTCTCCCATTCATCACTTTAGAACTTTGACTGAAATTAAAATTCAGGCTGGGCATGGAAGTACACTCTTATAATTCCATCATTTGGGAGTTCAAGGCTAACCTGATCTATCCAGTATAGCTCAGTGGTACAGTGCTTGCCTAGCATATGTCAAGCCCTTGGTTCATTCTTCAATGCCAAAATACATCCTGTACAAAATGAAAAGGATAAAATGTTAGAACTGACAGACCCTCAGAAATCCAGTGGTTTCTGCCTGTTTAACAGACAGGTTCCAGGACACCCAAGTGATCCCATCACAAACAGTCGGTGACTACATTGACACTAACCCAGAGCTCTGAAATCATCGTCTAGGGCTGGGAGCTCCTGTGCTACTGCAGGGTGCTTCAAAGCCAACATGGACAACAAGGTACATCTTGTAAAGGTGTTGGCCACAGTGAGTCATGGCATAGCCAATGGATGATGCACACCCCCCCACTGTCTTGAGTAAACAGAGTTAATCCCCAAGCTGGTGTTTCTTGGCACCTTTGAGGTGTCTTAAATTTTGTGAAGTGACTAAAAATATGCTTCAGTGTGTTGAGTATGAATGACTGTGACGAGGAGATTAGGAAAACAGATTTCATTCTGTAAGTTGCCTTCTGCCTCTTTCGAGCTGGCCAAACTCAGGCCTGCAAAGTCAGTCGGGGGATGTTTTGCTGGGTGGTCAGGAATGACAGGTGACTAGCAGGTGACCTGCCCCTGTAATGATCTTCAGACTGTGTGATGGTGCCAACTAGAGTACAGTCTGCTGTGGATGCTGCCCTGCTGTGAAGGAGACAGCCATGGTTCTGCACCCCACCCATGCTCCCTCTCCCATCCTCAAACTTCATCCTTTAACAGCCCTGCCTGAGAGGAAGTTTTAATCTTTGATCCACTGCCCTCCCTCTCCACCCCTTGGTGGCAATAGATTCCAGAGCAGGGAAAGAGAACAGACTTTTGAGTCCTTTGAATTTAGGGGATGCCTGATTTGCCACCAAGTAAGCCAGCCACTCCCACTGTGTGGGTTCTAACTCAAACGCAGTTTCTAGAGTTGGTCCCGTGTAGGATAAAGGGCCACCAAGGACAGGGTGATGGGAAGAATAAGCCCTTTCTGTGTGGCTTTGAGGCTGTGGGCAGATGAAGGCTTTCTGAAAACCTCTGGCAGCATCCTGAGACCATTGGTCAGGGGGCCTGCAGGTTATTATTTCTATCTTAGTGATGAGGAAACTAAGAGGTGCAGAGAAAAGAAGCAATCTGCCCAAGGTCACAGGCTTAGTAAAGGGTGAATGAATGGGTGACTACAGCCAGGTGTGGCTACCTTCTAATCCAGTGTTTCCCCTGCTTCACCACTCTGCCCTCAGGAGTACTGTTTCCTTCTGTGCATAATGGGATGTTGAACTCAGAGATGACTCCAGGGCCTTTTGTATTCATTCATCAGCTCCATTCTTGGCTACACAGCAAGACCCTGCCTCAACAACAAATTCTGAAACAAATAGGGCACAGGACATCACTGACCATTACTCCAAGAACAAGTATATTTGGGAAATGGTGGGGTAAACAAAGAAGCTTCTTTATTGAGGGTCTTTTCAGAGTCTTTTCTATGAACATGTACCTTGTGAGTATCCCAGAGGGATGTAGAAGATGTCCTGTTCCCACACAGACTTGATCACAGAACATTCTCTAAAACTACAGCAGAACATATTGTGAGAAATGGACCAGCTCCTCCAAAGCTGATAATTTGGAGGTCACTCCCTCTCCCCTCTGGGAGAATCTCACAGGTTCAGGACATGGTGACTTCTTGTCACTTGGCACACTCTCTGGGCAGCCTTCACCTATACCTAGGCATTCAGTGATTGTACATTTGTTTATGACACCCTGACCTCCACCTCTAGACAGGCCTCATTGCCAAGTTCTAGATCAACATACAATCTCCTGTATGTCCACCCCAGTGATACCACACATACTTTAAGCTCAGCACATCCCAAACTGAACTCTCCCTCCTTCCCCAAAATCTACCCTCACTGTAGCATCATTTATAGGCCTACAATGTCACCATTTCATTCTGAGTTCACCCCCACTGACATATCTCAGACTGCTAGGTATCTCACTTGAACCGCCTAGTCCCACAGCCACCTCCAGGCTCTCATCCATAGTGATTGTTAGTAACCTTCCAAACCATGCCTGTGCCCCATCACTGCCTGGCACAAAACCTCTCCATAAATCTCCAAAGCTTCACAACCCTTCCTGACCCATGAGTCTCCAGCCTCAGAGCCTCCCATCCATCTTAAGCACATTGGACACAGGGCACCCCAGACACACAGTCATACTTCCTGGAGCTTGGATGAGTGATAAGAATTGGGTCACTGGCCCTTTGACAGAAAAGCCCTTGTTCTGCTAATGTAATGATGGTTCAGGACCACGGAGAGCGTCACACCCACAACCCCCTCCCCCGCCCCCCCTCCCCTGACCCTTTAGTTAGGCCTGCCTAGCTGGCTCCTAATGCTGGTCCTTTACAGGCCCAGCAGAGACTTGACTTCCCTCCTGGAAGCCTTCCCTTACCCACCTGGATAACCAATCATGTTTTCCTTGTGGCTATTTGGTAACCTGTATATCTCTCTGTCACACCAAAGACATTAGTCTGATTATGTTTGTAGAGTTCACCACCACCCCACCCCCTACAAAGACATGAGCCTCGAGGGCCCATCCCTTGGCTGATTCATCTTCACCATTCAGTGCAGGGGAGTGCTTAGAGAATGTTTGTTGATTGAATGAGCAAATGACATTTAGCAGGTGCAGGAAATATGTGTTGATTTGCATCATGTATCTGTCGCTCTGAATGACTCAGAAACCAGCCAGATTCCAATCCTGGTCCCTCTAGAAAAGGAATTTTTCTCCATGATGACACCTTCCTCCACCCTTTAAGCAGCCTTCCTGCAGATCACCACCTGACTGGAGAGAAGGCATTCCCTACTCTGCTCCTACTGCTGCCATGCTGAGGACTCACTGGAGCAGCCCCCTCACCCCCAAGTCAGGCCCTGAAGCATGAGTTTTACTCTGAACACTTCATTTCTGCCTCCCTCCCATTCATAACAGATGGCTTTGAGTCCCCACTCACATACAAGTTCCTGTTCTGCATTTGAACATTTTTAACACTTTCTAAGTTATAGATGCTTCATGGCCCTTTGATCATGGCCCAAGATGATCAGAAACAAAGAGACTCCAGAAAGACATTGACCCCAAGCCCCTTCAAAACCCTGTGGAGATGCCAGTAGCCTGCCCCATGTCATTGAGTGGGTGCTTCCATTGTTGGGGGGGGTCACTTTTTTTCTTCAGCATTTTGGTGTTAGGAATCAAACTTGGGGCCTCAAGCATGCTAGAAAAGCACTGCCACTGAGCCACACCCTGACCTTGTTGTTTGGTTTCGAGGATCAGAATTAATTTATTCTTCTTTCTAGCAGCTCTCTTGGTTTCCTGGTCTTAATGGGGCTATAAATCAAGACATGAACATAGATCCAAGCTAACCCAACTAGACTCTTATGCCTAGAGCATTAAATTAAGTAAGCAGGAAAAGAATAGGGGAAAATGTTTGGAGCTCTGAAAAATAATTAATTAATTTAAAAGCTGGTGTAAGAACTCTGGCTTCTAAATCTCTAATCTTCCTATTAAATTTAACTGTAACTTCCTGCTATGCTGCCAATAAATCCCTTTCCTACTTAAGATAGTCAGTCCATCTCTGCTGCACACAGGTCCATAACCTGTACTGATATGGCCACCCAGAAGGGTCACCCTCCCAACTTTGGGCCTTGGAGTAAAGCACAGCTCCAACAATCATCAGTGTCCCTTGTTGGACTCTTCAATAGAAACTTTGTTAGCTCAATGACCTCAAAAGCCCACCCAGACAAGGCGGAGAGTCACCCACTTCAGGAAGAGGGACAAACAGATCAATGGCTGGTCACAAAGGAACAGGCCAGTGCAGGAATCTAGATGCACATACTCAACCCCCACCAAGCTGTAGGACAGAGAGGAAGGAAGGCTTCCTTCACCAGGCTCCAAGCACCCCTCCCATGGACACGCACCAAGCGGCCTCCTGAGCATACATAAGCAGACACACCTGCCTGCCTGGATGTCCCTGGGAGCTGAGTCATTATTAATAGAGAAGTGAGCAGTGTCAGGCTTGGGGACTTGTCCCGATGAGCAGTATTTTCACTCCTGTTGACATTCCCAACAAACAAGTTCAGAGTTTCAATGAATGGGATTACCCAACAAGTGCCCTTCAGGCGGAAAGATGCTTTCTGTTTACCATACTCCTCTGCTCTGAGTGGTGGGACACCTCTCACAGACCCACACCTGTGACCTTAGCCCACTTGGACTGGCCCCAAAGAGACAGAAGATGAGAGCTGAGAGAAGCTGGGGCCTGACTTGACTGTAGATGAGGTAAGGGTCTTTGTCCCTCCCAGGGACCCCCTGCCCCAGAGCTCTGGCATTCCCCATACTGCTTTGGATGATAATACCCTATAAGCCTCTGGATGAGCATTGCATCTCTCTGAGTCCTGGAAACTCAAGCATCAGAATGCACTTGAAGAAGTGACCCCAGATCACAAGGATGAAAGCTGCAGTGCTGTGGTGGGTATCTGACCCTCCCCAAGCCAGGCTTTCCCACAACCTCTCCCTACTGGTGGCATGCATACCTCCTCTCTAGCCATATCACACCCCTCCATGATACCTCATGTGCCTCCTGCCCCGCATTCCACCTCTCTGAGGCCTGGAAACTCAAGCATCAGAATGCACTTGAAGAAGTGACCCCAGATCACAAGGATGAAAGCTGCAGTGCTGTGGTGGGTATCTGACCCTCCCCCAAGCCAGGCTTTCCCACAACCTCTCCCTACTGGTGGCATGCATACCTCCTCTCTAGCCATATCACACCCCTCCATGATACCTCATGTGCCTCCTGCCCCACACCCTGTACTCCCTGTCTAGGGTTCCCTTCTTCCACACCTCCTACCCTTACCAGTTCCAAAGTCACCTCCTAGAAGGTTTTTCACAAGAGGTGTGTCTCCCTTGGCCTAGCCCAGGGTTTCCCTGTCCTGCCTTGAGCTGTGAGGATCCAAAGACAGGCTGAAATCTGATTCACTGCCCCACACCTTGATGGGATCCACTGATGCCAATCCATGTTGGTAGAATTGACATGACTGAGACTTCTGGTCTTCCTCCTCAGCCACTGGACTCCACCCATTTTCTGGAAGCTGAACCTCACAGCTTTACAAGTGGAAGGTTCTGACCCTGGAGTTGGGCTTCTGTGGAGCTAGTCTGTGAGAATTATATGGGGCCTTAGCTAGGAAATCTGCATTTGATGCTTTTCAAACCGAACTGTAGAATCAGTGGCTGAGAGAGAGATAGCTGAGAGGTGGCCCTGATCCTTCAGCCAGTGAGTGCTGAGAGGGGTATGGTGACCTCCTTCTCAGAGAAAAATTCTCCACACTGACCCATTTCCTCAGAACTTCAGGGTGCTGTTTTGTGAGCTCCAGATGCCAGGGGTTGCTTGTCCTGGAGATGCCCACTCCTGAGGAAAACTGACACTGTGAGCAGGTGTAGTTTGAGCTGGAAGGCCCAGGTCCTGGGACCTGTGATGGCCAACATGGAGGGCAAGGGAGGAACCTCAAGAGGCAGGATGGAGAGGGTGAGGGTTAGGGCTGTGCAGGAGGCTGGGCGACTGCTCTACCCATGGATGCTGGGAGACAGGCACAGCCTGGCACAGCAGTGGGGGCAAGGAGTGAGTGAGCAAGTGATCGCCTGGCTAGACTCCAGGGGAGGAGACAGAAGCAGGGGTCATGGGCAAAAAGAACATGCCTCCCTGCTGTTGCCTGCCTGGAAGCTGTTGATCTCCTGCAGGGCCCGCTGAGCCCAGCTGCTCAGAACCCAGTGCCAAGCGTGAGTCCCACAGAGCTGACCCTCCCCATAGAGATGCTGGGGTCAAAGCATAGACTGGAGGAAAGGAGAGGTACTTCCAGGAATATGCATGCATGCACAGCCACGTGAGCCCCTCTGCATGGCTCAGATGCAGTTGCCGCTGCAATTGTACTAATAGAGACACCCAGAGATCCAAGCTGAGTGGCTCCTTCAGGATCTCTCCCAACTTAGGGGCCACTGTGAATCCTTGGCCTGGCCTGCCCATCTCGTCTCTCCCCACTCCTTCTTCCTGCAGAAGTTCCATGAAGCTATCAATAACAAGAAGATCTAAGTAGGCCTGAAATCCAAGGGCTTTGAACTGGTCATGCTTTAATAGGGACCCCTGGGCAGCGAGGCTGAGGGCTTAGCCTCCCTGCTGGGTACAGACACAAGGCCCTGGGGGGCACTGATAGCTCAGTCTCCAGTCAGCCCCTGGGCCCTGCCAGCTGTCTAGCTGGGATGGAACAAGTCAGGAGTACAGCTCAGCCAGGGTCCCTGAGTCACAGGCAAGGTGGATAGAGCCAACGATGAGTGTGAGCAGGGTGGGGCCTGCTCACTGCTGGACAGGGGCTCAGGGTTCCTCTGTGGGGGTGCTGGTGCCAGGTCTTGTCTTTTTGTGTCCTTGCTGGCCATGTCCTTGCTATCCAGAGTCCCTGCTGGAGGAAAGGGGCTCAGCCAGCCCCAAAAGTGGCAGAAGGGCTTTAGGGCCAAGACTGGAAAAATCTATCACGAAGTTCTTGAGGTCCTATTTGCAGAATAAATCCCAAATCAGACCCCTTCTCACTACCTTCACTGCCATGACTGTGAGCTTAGCAACACTGCTTCTTCTGGAAGATTACAGAGCATTCTATGGCCTCTCTGCCTCAACTCTGGCACCTTGCAATCTGTTTTCCACAAAGCAGATCAGACCCTTAGGGCTCCTCCACTGGAAACCAGTGGCTCCTATCTTACTCAGAGTGAAAGGCACAGTCCTTCCAAGGACTCCTCCTCTCCTCTGATGTCCTCATTCCCATCACCATCCCCTTACTCCTGCTCCAGCCCCACTGGCCACCTTGTCAGTCCTGAATACATCAGGCACATTCCCACCACAAGGCCTTTACGCTAGCTGTTCTCACTGCTGGGAGCAATTTCTACCAGATAGCTTCTTGGCGTGCCCCCTCACTTCCTCCAGGTCTTTACTCCAACCTCACTGTACAGGGAGAACCACCCTCAACTTTCTTTCCTCCTTTTGTCTCATAGCACTTACATCAAACATTTCCTCACTTTCCCTGTTTCTCTTCTGTCTCCAGTCACCAGAGTTGTCTGCTTTGTGAGGCTCAAACTGGGGCTAATTCTGTCTCTCTCCAATATCTGCTACCTTGCCTGGCACATGGTACAAGTGTAATAAATGCTTTGGAATGAATGAACAAAAGAACTGGCCAGGGGTATAGGCAGTAGCCAGTGCTCCCTGGTCCTGAGGTGTTCAAGCTGGAGCTCGGCAGGGGCATGAGGGGTGAGAATACCTGTGCCAGGCTGCCAGGCCCAGTCCTGGTCTCTCTCCAGGTACAGTGCAGTCAGCAGGAAGCAGCCACCACCTAGCACAATGGCAAAGGCACAGCACAGGAAGCTCTGCTGCAGGCTGAGGAAGCGCTGCAGGTAGGAGTTGGGGCGCCTGGCCTGCAGGATGCTGGAGATCTGCCAAGGAGGGAGGGGTGTCTGCTAGGCCCAGTGGGTGGCCTCAGGCCCTTAGCAAGTGTAGTACCTCCTCAAGACCCTCCCCTATACAAACTCAGGTGTGCCTTACAAGTCCAGTGAGGTACGGGCTGCCAGCATCTCCCAGGACATGAATCACTGTGATCTGGAGCGCCTCTGCTGTGCCCCGGCATCTGGGCACTACCACAGACTACAAAACACAGAAACCCTAGAAGTGAGCCTTCAGCAAGGGTAGAGGAGATTCCTCTCACCGCCTCCTCCTGTTCCCACCTTCAAAGGCCCTGTCTGGAGGGTAGCAGGCTGGCCAGGTCAGAGGATGATTGGAAGGGATCACTGATTTCCAAGACCAGAGTCCCACCCCAGGACTCAGGTCTCTCTGAAGCTCCAGAGGCCTCTCCAGGGAAGGGATGGTGGGCCATGAGGTGCTCAGCACTGAACAGAGACACTCTTGAGAGCTTATGTTTCAGCCAGGTAGAGTCAGGCACGGCTGCGACCACAGTGGTGGGACAGTGTCTCGGCTCAGGGACTGAGACAGCTGTGCAGACTGGCAGGGAGTGGAGCCAGGCAACTCTACATGTGAGCAGTGGGGGCAGCTGTGCCAAGGAGGCCCATGTGTCTCCACACAAGAAGGTGAGGAGTCAGACAGTCTGGGGTCCACTCCCAATCCCCACCCACTAGCTGTGACTTTAGGCAAAGTCCCTTTGTCTTTTCCTGCCTGTCTCTCATCTCTAAAAGGGATAATGATAGTACTCACCTTGAGGGCTGTCTTCAGTGTCATTCAGCTGATACCAGAGGCTTCAATGAACATCTGCCCTGCTGGCAGTATGCTCTGGGCTCTCGAACATGCTGTGCCTCCTGCTCAGCATGCCTTTCCCTTGCTGAGCCAACTGGGGAAGCTCTATTTATCACTTAGGACTTACCTTTAGGTACCCTCCTCTGTGAAGCCCTCTCAGGGTTCAGGGCCCTGTTTTTACACACACACACACACACACACACAGAGTTAAATGCATGCCCCATGGAACTAGGAGGGGTCCTTTCTTGGGCTACTTCCTTATCCCTTAAACTGTGTTGGTAACAAAGCCCTTAATGTATCCCTGGAGTACCACAAGATATGAGTCACAGAAAGGACTAGTGGAAGTCTGCCAACCATCTATACCAAATAGAATGTTCTAGAAGGCTGGTCTCAGGAGAAAGCCCAGAACTATTGTCCACTATGGAAATCACAAAGGAGACTGCTGCTATGGAGCCCTGTCCCCAATGCATCAGTGCCCATCATCTGAACGCATCAGGAAAAAAATTGATGATGATGATGATAATAATAATAATAATAATAATAATAATAAATAATTGCTAGCATTTAATGACTGCTTCCTGTATGCCCTTTATCAACTCCAATAACTCATGAGGGAGATATGATTACTTCCCGCATTTTATAGATGAGAAAACCTCCACAGAGCGAGTAAGTAAATTGCCTAGGGAAGCCCAGACAGAGATTAACAGGGCCCAGACTAGATGGCAGGCCTTCTCCTTCCCAGGCCTTCTCCTTCCCGGGCCTGGACTCCTGCCCCTCAGCTGTTAGGAGGTAGGGGAGCCAGCATTTCCAGCAATGCTGATATGTTTGTTACACAGTATTTAGAAGGTGGACAGAAAGACTAAGACAGGTTTGCCAAGCATGGTGCATATGTCTTTAATCCCAGCATTTGGAAAGCAGAGTCAGGTGGATCTCTCTGAATTTGAGGCCAGCCAGGTCTACATAGCAAGTGGCCAGCCAGGGTTACATAGTGAGACTATATCTCGAAAAACAAACAAAAAAAGAAGATAGGCTCCTCAGTGGCCTTGTCCAAGGGCAGGAGAATCAGTGTCTGACAGAGAGCAGGCAAAGGGTGCCCCAGACAGGAGACCGTGTGACCAGGGGAAGACAGGAGCCCAAGGACCTAACTCTGGATTCCAGAACCCCACAGCACAGACACAGGGGGTCTGCTGGAAAGGGGCCTCATAGGTGGGCAGGGCTGAGTGGCTCTGGAGTCACTGTGGGCCATTAGTGGGTATGGGGGTCATTGGTGCCAAGTCAGTCGGCCCAGGTGGTAAAACAAGTTGGGCCTCCTGCCAACTCCAGGACCTGCCAACAGGCCTGAGGAGGAACTGACCACAGTTTTGCACCTTCCCAGGACTTCCTTCTCACCCCATAATTATGTGATTAGTCACTAGAGGTTCTGGAGAGGCAAGCTTCAGCTTCCTAAACAGAGGCCCTAAGTGTCTACACAGGTCCATGTGGGGCTGGGGCTGGGGCTGGGGCTCCCTGCCTGCTCTGGGTGCCCAACATCTCTGTATATCTAGGGGACCAAGGCTGGGCCCAGCAGCACCTGGCAAACCCAGGGGAGTAATTTTAAAAATGAGTAGCTTTTGAGTTCCCAACACTCTAGGCTTATTCCCTTCTGAGACAAAAAACACATGTGTTTTTGGTTCCACCCTTCTCAAAAGAACAGTTCCCTCTACAGCCCAGGGCAAGAGCAGTGCCAGTCAAGGCCTCGAAGAAAGTTGGAGGGATAACCATCAAGTACAAATTCCCCGGCAATCTGCCTCCTGTGCTCTCCATTCAACCCCTGTGACCAACACCCCTAAGATGGTGAGACAGTCACCTAAGCAGCCAGCTACCCAGAAGGCAGGGCTGAGCTGGGAAGCACTGAGACAGGGGCTAAGGAGGAGAGGAAGGTCCCCCATGAATGTGAAGATATGCTAAGGATATGAGAGAGGACCCTGATGGCCAGAGCTGGAGCCCCAGTGGAAGAGGCAGTGAACACCCTCCAGCTCTGCTCTCCACACTGGGGAGTAGGATAAACCACTCAAGATCAGCCTGGGTGGGGCCCAGACAGCAGGGCTGGAAGGCAGATGGAAACCCCTGAACAGGTTTAGAGACAGAGACACAATTCTTGGCCTTCTAAGGAGCAAGTCCCTCTGAAGTACAACTGGGTCAGGAAGAGGTGCATCTTAGCTGGCACCTGAGCTTGATCTTTTTCTTAAGCACAAAGCCCCCCATGAGGCAGAGGCTACTGGGTGGAAGGAGTGAGCTGAGGGAGTGAGCTCCCCATGAGGGTGGGTGAACAAAGGGATGGTGGGAAGTTTGCAAAGGATCTGCAGGTTGGAGAGGTGACTAGAGGAGTCCAGAAGCTATGCTGAGGACTACTGGGTCAGGCCCCCGCAGGAAGTCCACTAGCAATGCAATCCCTGTACCTACTGTTCACCCACCCAATCAGATAGCCCAGAATCAATGACAGGCCCAGAATGAAGTGTGAGAGCCACTGGAGCAGACAGCCCCTGGGGCCTCTTCTCCAAAAGAGCCTGGATTCTCCCCTGTGGAGGAGGGATCAAAGAGAACTGTGTTCTGAGGCAGGATTTGGTATTTGTGTTGGGGGCAGGGGATAATGCCACCTCCTCAGGAATATACAGGGTACAGGCCTTAGCTCATTTGTTCCTTTCAGCCTGGAGCATGACCGATCAGTACAAAGTACCTTTCCACCTATTTGTACAACTGAGTTAACCAAGGCCCAGAGAGGTTAAGTGAGTTGGTCAAAGGCTTGAAGCTAGTGAGAGGCAGGGCTGGGTGTGAAGAGCAGATAGATTGCTGTAGAGGGCTCCTAACCGGGCTCTGCTGTCTCTCCCTGTCCTCATCCCTCTCACCCACTCACAGGCTCCAACACCTCAGGAACCCACAATCTCTCTACTTTGTTTTCCTGTTAAACCTTCTTGGCTCTCCACTGAGAGCTGTCCCCCTGAATCTCTCTGTCCAGACCACCCAAAAGAGAAGATCACCTCTCCCCTTAGGGGAAAGAGCAAGCCAGTGCAGGAAACCTTCCTCCACTTCCTGCACACACTTGTCCCCCACATAGGTCCTTCTCCTGCCTTGGGTTCTATCCCTGCTTCTCCCAAAGGACCCTGCTTTCCACACCTGTTCCCTGCTACCTGGTGAATGGCTGGCTTCCCGGCATCTTCTGCTAAATCTACACACGATCCCTTCTCTTGTAAAAACCTATGCCACTCTACTGTACACAGAGAGCCTTTTGTAGATCTGAGATCACTCCCTCCTGAGCCCCCTACCACTCCTGTTTCTCTGCCAGGGAGTTAGGAGTATGACGGCTACAAAGGTTGGACCTGCTTCCTCAGCAAGTAAAAGAATCATTGGGGGCCCCAGGCCTTGGGATGGGAGAGAGGGCAGGGAAGAGGGCACAGAGCTGACTAGGGTGCTGAGCCTTGCTAACTGTGGGGTAGAGGCCTCCAAGCCAGGAAGAGTTCAGGGAGCTGAGAACTGGGCTGATATGGTCAGCCAGCTCCATCTAGCTCCCCGACTGGCGAGACTCCAGCTGGCCCCCAAAACCCACCTCCACCCCCTCCACTACTGTAGACATACTCCCCTTAAACTCTGCAGAGTGCCTCCCTCTGCCAGGTTAATGATTCCTGCAGACACAGACAGAAGGATACGATACAGCCTTCACATATCTGTAGGGCTGTCATGTGGAAAAGGGACCACAGTGGGGGGTAAGCGGAGGAAGCTGTGGGGGGCAGGTTCAGTACTGCTTGAACTGCCTGAGAGAGGATGAGCTATGTAGGGAGGTGGGAGCTCCCGTAGGCGGTCTTGTTCATCTCACTAGGCAGGTAATGATTACCCCTTTTTATAAGCAAGGAAACCGAGGCCCAAGGCCATTTACCAGGTCTGTGGCTTTATCTGGGCTGAAGTCCAGGTCTCCTGTGTAAAGCGAAGGTCAGGGGAGACTGGCTAGTTTTGAAGCTGATAGGGTCACCAGAGCTGAAGACAGGGCTGAGCCCTGGCCACAGCAGGGAGTGAGCATCCTGTCAACAGTAGTAGTCAGGAGGGTCTTGTTGACTAATTCAATGCACACATTCCCACAGCCCCTCCAAACCCAGATTCTAGGACTCCAGAATGTCTTTAAGGGATAGAAGAGCCATAGAAACGTCAGGATCACTATGAGAATCCTACCTAACATTGCCTGTGCCAAATACTGGGTAAAACTTCCCATAGGTCATCTCACTCCATCCTTAAAACAATCCTTGAGGGTTGGTGCTACCATCCTATCTCCATTCTGTATAGGGGAAACTGAGACTCAGAAACACAAAGCAACCTGCTTAAAGTCACCCAGCTAGTGGCAGCAGTGCTGAAGCCCAGGTCTGTCTCAAGAATCCAGCCTGAGCCCCTACATCAGACAGCCCTGGGAACAGTCAGGCCACCTAGAATCCTGTGCCCAGAACCAGCCTGTGCCAGTCTGCCTAGAGGCATCAGGAGGGCACTCAGGGTGCGTGTTCAAAGTCCATCTGCCTCCTCAGAGGTTGGCAGTCAGATGCTGAACACAGAGTGAGTCCAGGGAAGAACTGAGCAGGATTCTGGATGCTACAGTCATGTGGTGGGGACAGCATCAGGTCTCATTGTAGCCTAGCCAGCCCCTGTGTGACCCATGAGGCTGGAACCAGCTGAGTTTATTGGCTAGTACCCTAAATCTAGCACCTTCATCTGTGACCCTAGAATACAGACCAAGGAGCCCACCAATTGAGAAGTAGCATGGTGGGGCTGGAGAGATGGCTCAGTGGTTAAGAAGACTAACTGTTCTTGCAGAAGACCCAGGTTCAAATCCCAGCACCTACTTGGCAGCTAACAACTATCCATAACTCCAGTTCCAGGGGATCCGACAGTCTCTTCTGTCCTCTGCGGGCATTGCACAACACGGGTACACTTACCTACATTCAGGCAATACACACATACACATAAAATAAAAATAATAAATAAAATATAAAAAAGAGAAGTAGCATGGTGATGAGAGGAATGAGAGGAGCCTATGCTCCAGGCTTGGCTCAGAACCTTGGCACTGTGTGACCTTGGTCCAGGCATCTGCCCTCTGAGTTTCCATGCCCATGAGCAGAATGGGGGTGGTGGTCAGAGATATTTGAGAGTGAGGGGGTGCCTTGTCCACAGGAACTGTGAAGTAGCCTTGACCACCCTGATGGCCTCTGAAGTCCCTCCCAATCCCCACAGGCTCCTCAAAAGTGCAGGGCCAACCTGCAGCCCACACCTACCAGCAGAATGTCGGCAACCACTGCCCAGTTGCAGGACAGAAGCAGCTTCCCAAGGACCAGGAACACCTGTGGACAGAGGATGGCCTGGGTGAGGCTGCCCCAACCGCAGGCACCCACCCCTCCCAAGCATCCCTTCTCACTTGTGCAGAGGGGAAACTGAGGCTCTTCAGAGGAAGACATTATGGAAACTGGCATTATAGATCCCTCACTGACAACTGTGAGGGATCTAGAACTGCAACCCCAAGGATAGGTAGGCAAGCTGCAACAGAGACCCCAAGTGAGCACCACACCCCAGGTCTGAGAACCATACTTGCCCATATATATGGCCCCCAGGACCCAACCTTTGGGGTCACCCATGGAGCCTCAGGAGGATGCAGCAGGACTCCCAGAGCATATTCAAGGGTGAGGAAACAGACTCAGTGTGGGAAGGCTCAGAGATTGCCCATCCTTTCTTTGTTTTCGCCTCAGGACTACATATACCAGTAAGTACCTGAGAACCCCTCAAACGGCCTATCCCAGGCACCTCTTTCCCAGATCCACAGAGCAATGCAGGGAGATAAGCAAGTCCTATCATACCCATTGTGCAGACAAAGGCAATTCCCGGTCAAGACAAGGCTTGTCTCAGGTCACCGCTGGCCCAGAGCAAAGCCTCTGGCCCCTATCCAGTGCCCACCCCTGCCCTGCTCCCAATGTCTTCTGCTGCTGGCCTGTCTCACTCAGCTTCCTGAACCCCACTACCTCGTGCCAACGGATTAGAACAATCCTCATTCCCCTCACTCAAGAAGAGCTTAATGAAGCAACAGAAGAAAAAGGAAAAAGGCTCACTTCTCCCAGATCCTGAGAGCTTACTGACCGGGTGGAATTCCTAAAGTCACGGGGTTATGCCCAGGGCAGCCCAGGCTCAGGGACTCAAAGGCCTAATGTCCCCAAGCAAGAGAAGTAAAAGACCAGCACTAGAATGCCTACTACGTGCCACACCTTGTCACTCTTTTACCCCTGTCAGGTCAGGTAGCTTAGTAAGGCTGTCATTGCACCCATGTCACAAACCAGGACACCCAGACCCAAGGGCTGCTTTCTAGAGAGTCCCTCTCCTCTGTGTCTGGCCTATGCATTAGTGAGGGTAGAGAGACCTTTGTCCCAAAGAGCTCCGAGGGCCCCCTAGTAGTCACCATGCCTTCTAAGGCTGTCAGGGGATTTCAGATGGGGAGAAAATCCTGGGTAGGTGGCCCTGACAGAGCCCCAAAGGCCAGTCAGGATGGGCTGCAAGAGCACCCTGAGCAGACAACCCCTGTGAGCAGTAGCAAGAGAATGGAATGCATGAACACATCAGGTGGGGCAAGAGGATGGCCCACTCTGGTAGAGGAAGGGTGGGACATGTCATGGAGACCAAGTGGCTGTTGTGATCTTTCCATTCAACTCCACAGCCTGTGACTGCTGCTTCTGGCCCTTGGCACCCAAACTGGAAGGCCCTTGAGGTCAGGGTGGATCTTGTTCTGGGCCTGGAAGAAGGGCTAGGCGCCCACAGTAGTGGGAAGCAGGAAGTCACTGATGGGTGAGGCAGGCCACAGCCCTGCATTCCATCTTGACAGGGCCTGTCAACCCAGAGCCTGGACCACATGAAAGCCTGGCCGACACACCTGTCCTCCCAATGGTTCCTTGTCATCAGGGCCACCTCCACCTAGGCCAGCAGCCTCTCCTCTCCCCACACTCCAGCCTGTCTGTGTCCTCTCTTCCTCCACATAGGCCAGACAACCGCTGCCAGAGGGATGTACCCTCCTGTTTTGTGTCTTCCCTGCCCTCTCCACACCCATAGGACATACTGAAATATACCTTTCCTTCCTCCATCTGGATCAGGGTGGATCCCAACCCCAAAATAGAGCCCCTCAGAGGGAGGCACCAACCACAATGGGGCCTTTTAAGTTGAACAAGCTGCCTAAGGGTGCCAGGTTTCCTCAGAAACACCTGGAAACGGGCACCATGCCATCAAATCCATAACTCTACTTGTGGCTTTGTGTGACAGAGGGCTGGTAAAGAGAGGCTGCCTTCTTAATCCCATAATTACAGGGGCTCCTGAGGTACTGGAGCCCCTTCTTAGTTCAAAGAGGGGCTCTGCCACAAAGTTTGGGACACCTATTAGTAGACCCTGGGGAGCTCCCCAACCCCTGTTTCTGGGCCTTGATCCTCTCCCCCCGCCCCCGACCTCCACAGAGTGATGAGGGGAGCCAGCTAGGCTCCTATGGCACCAACATCCTGTGCTTCTAGAGCAAGAGACCTGGTTACACACATCTGTGGTCACCACTGGCAGGGTAAAAACTGGGTTCTCATTCAGTGATGTCCATGGCTAGTTCAGACTTGGGTTCCTCAAGTAAAAAATCAAGCAAACAGGGGTAGGGGATTTAGCTCAGAGGTAGAGTGCTTGAAGACCCTGGATTCGGTCTTCAGCTCTGAAAAAAAAAAAAAATCAAGCAAACAGAGCCAGTCATGGTGCTGCATGCCTGTAATTCCAGCACAAATTTGAGGCCAGCCTGGGTTACATAGGGATCCTGTCTCAAAAAAAAGAAAAGAAGGGTCAGTGAGATGGCTCAGCAGGTAAAGATACTTGCTACAAGCCTAAGGAACGGAGCTCCATCCCCAGAATCCACAGGATGGAATTCAAGAACTGACTTCCCCAAGTTGTCCTCTGGCCTCCATAACATGTGTATGGCACATGTACACACACACACACACACACACACACACACACACACACACACACACACACACACACACAAAAAATATATATATTTTTTTTTCTCTCTCTATTTTTGAAAAATATATAGTCTTCTTCTCACT